ATGGGAAACTTTAAAGGGACTACAAATGTCACTATCAGTTGGTACATAGTTCCTCTTTACTGGGTTTCTCGAGTCTCTCCATCAGGCTATAAGGGGTGGAACAGGAGGACAGTTCTCTGAAAAGTAAGGGGAAGCTGACTAGGTTTAACATGGAAGGTATTTAGCATAGTACTTGGCATACAGTCTCTCTTCCTTGGTGTCCTCATAGCCAGAGTGCTAAACAGTGAACCTCATTGTGGTTCTCGGTCCTATTGGCTTCCATTTTGGGTCCAGTAACTCAGATTCCTAGAGGCTTATTCCAAGTCCTTTGGGGCTGGAAGTCCTTCCCCTTTCAGAGCAGCACTCTTCTCTCTATAAAAGGGTCTCGGTTTACCTGCTCCTCGTGGTCTGGCTGGGCTTTCTTAGCAACCTCTGCTTGCTGACCTCTTGTCTAGGATTTCTCCTCCCGGGCCACATCTCCATCAGAATCCCTTTTGCCCCCTTCTTCCTGGTGTCTCTTCTACTCAGGACTGGTCTCAAACACCAATTAATTCTTGGCCAGAATTGGAAAGTGAAGAGATTGAGGGAGGCCAGGGTAACAGGGTCCTCTTGCCCACAAGAGTTAAGTGAGAGCTTGTGGGTGTTTTTAGGTTCACCTTTCTCCCTAAAGCAGATCTGCCCAGTGACAGTTCACATCACACCATTTGCTTTCGGCCTAGCTCCCAGTGCCCGCTTAGAACAGGGCCTGCGGAGCAGCCTGGCTCCTCTGCCCCCCATGGCCGGCTCTGCTGTGTATGGCTGTGCAAGGTCACCATGGGGGCTTCAATACATCCTGGGCTCTGCTCAACCTGTATCCCAGGCAGGGTATGCCCACAGATAGGGCATGTCCCTAATTAGTGCAAAGGCAGAGTGTGTGCTTGCTCAGCCCTGTGATAAGAAAAGTGCATGCATTTTCAGAGGATGAACTAGCATTAGGGAAAAAGTTCACCTTTTCTTTAAAATCTCCTGGGTGAAATCTGTGACCAATTTTCAGAAGGCTAGGCTTTAAAGCAGTGTGTAGGAGGACAATGCACACATCTTGCTACACTGGGCGACATTCATTCATCACACCCACTCTAAACTGCCACATCTCTCCCCAGACAGCAACAATTTCCAGACACTAGAAATACTTACATTTTATACTGTGCTTACTACAACTGACTAAAGGTCTACTCAACTGTCAGTAGAAATGCTATAGGTAGAGAAATTCAATGTTATCCCAGATTTTTACAAGTCTAATGCATAATGTTCACAATAGTAAAAAACAATTAACAATTTGAAAAACTATGAATTTATCCACACTTCCATATTCCAAATTCTTTGCTTAGTGTTAATTTCAATTCCATAGTAAGAGAAAGCAGCTTTTTACATTTCCTAAGTATACTCCAATTTCACCTTTTGCCATCATCTGTGTCCATGTCTCAAAGGGAAGACAGATTTATTATATACTAGAGGCCCAGCACAAGATTAAATCATGCGTGTGTAGGGTCCCCTAGGCCATCAGGGACATGTCTGCTGCACCATGACACTTCGCACGCTCCGGGACACTGTCGGCACCTTGCCCTGGCCGCCGTGAGAGTCGCTGCTCGTTTGGTCTTTTATGATATAAAGTCATTGGGTGTTTAAGAAACCAAACTGCCATAGATATTGTCCAAGGAACACTATAGTAACCTCCATGCTGCAGCAAAGAATCATCACATACAGAGTATAGAGCAGCATCTCAGAGCCCTTGTGAACTGATGCTGGAAAGGCGTCCAGGTTGAGAGAACCCTCCAAAGAGTTCACTCTCTTGTCTGGCCAGTGTGGCTCAGTGGTTGAGCACCAGGATGTCAAGGTTTGATTCCCCGTCAGGGCACATGCCTGGGTTGCTGGCTTGATCCCCAGTAGGGGGCATGGAGGAGGCAGCCAAACAATGATTCTCTCTTATTGATGCTTCTATCTCTCTCTCCCTCTCCCTCTCCTTTCCTTTCTGAAATCAATAAAAAAAATATTTTTTAAAAAAGAGTTCACTCTCTAAAATGTCTAAACACTTCACCTCCACCAAAGTATAACAAGTATGACTTAACATTTTCTTAATGACATAGCACATTAAGAGAGAACAATGGCTTTGAGGTGATGAGAACTGGGTTTGACTCATAGGTCACTATACACTGGAGAATGGTCTCAGTCATTCACCGAACTTACTGGGCTTGTCGTGTTATGATGGGATCACTGCATTCTCAGGAGCTGTTGAGGTTGGTTAAAAGCACACATAAAGTGCTCAGGGCAGTGCCTTGGCTCTTGCAGGAGGTGCCCTATGAAATGCCAGCCCCCTGCCTGTCTCCTCAGTACATGATCTGAACAGTGGAGTTTTTACGTGTGCTGCAGGCTTCTCACCCTTCTGTGGGTGCGCATGTCAACAATGAGTCACTGGGCAGAATAAATGCAACTCCCGGTCTAGCCTTAGGAATTGCTTTTTTTTTTAAAGCACTAATACCAAATACTCTAACTATATATTTTTCTCATTTGGCTTTCTTTCTCCTCATAAAAGTGGAATATGAGCAAATGACTTCTAAGAAATAGGATATGGCTACCCTACTGCAAACTCGTCCCTCTTCCCAAGCAGTGTTTTCCCTCCAGAATGTCAGCTCCCCCGCCCCACCCCATACTATTTTCAGCTCATACTTCATAGACCTTCGTGCTGCAGGCTAAGTTTATATATGTTGTGAAAGAAGCACAAGGCAATCGAGGCAGACAGTAAGGCAGCCATTTATATTTGCCTGTGTATTTGACCTCCATCTTCCCAGCAATTTTTGTGCCCTTTTGTTTACTAATGATTTAAACATGCTTTGTAGCCTATAACCTCTGAGCTTAAAGCATTGTCAATGAAGCTAAGCAGAGAAACTATTTTCTTGGGTAGCTTTATAAAAAACACACACACAATATTTGCTATTTCATCCCCATTACACACGAGTGAAGTCTGAGCTGTGGGTTGTCAATCGTATTGTAGAGATGGGCAACTGCAGGTGTGACTGGAATTAAGGTGTGAAGAGAGAAATATACACAACACAAGCTGGTATCTTTCTTTAATCAAAGAAACCAAAGAGCATAAAACACATTATTTACTCACTTCACTGGGAATATTTTTTGGCAATTCTGTGGACAATAATTGTCTCCCTTATTTCCTAAGGCATGACATCTGGCCGGGCTGACACTAAACTTGTTACCCGTCTTCTGTCTACTCTGCTTTGTACTTGCTCCTTGACGGATGATGCCCGCCCCCCCGCCCACATCTATTTTCATTTCAGCTGCCAAAGTTGCCTCAGTTATTCTATAAAACATTTCTCAAACTCTACTAATTCAGCAGAGAATGGACAATATCATACACTTTAATATGCCTCCAAAGAAGGAAATTTAGTAGAAGAGTGAGGGCCCATCTTTCTTTAACAACTACCACCTTCTCTGTGAAGGTTTGCACTGATGGACCTGGTTGACCACACCCTCCCTTTTGTCCCCATGTGTTCTGTTTCTATTATACCTCCCATCACAGTAAGGATATATAATTCTTTATTTTCCTCTTTCTCCCAATAGGATGTGAGTCTGTCAAGAGAAGAGGCCCTTGCCCAGCTGGCACAGTGGTTAAGGGTTGACCCATGAACCAGGAGGTCAATTCCCTGTCGGGACACATGCCTGGGTTGCGAGCTTGATCCCCAGTATGGGGCATGCAGGAGGTTGCCAATCAATAATTCTCTCTCATCATTGATGTTTCTATCTCTCTCCCTCTCCCTTCCTCTCTGAAATCAATAAAAATATATTTTAAAAAAAGAGAGAGAGAAGCCCTGATTTTAGCATAGAAGACACTAGACCTAAGTTGGATTACATGGAATTAAAGAACAAAACTTTATAAAAGAGGATAAACATCCAGTCTGTGTCTGCATCGATTCAGTTAAGTAATTCTGAAATAAAAATAGGGGGAAGGGAGCAAAATGGGTGAAGTGGGTCAAAGGTACAAACTTCTGATTATGAGATAAATAAGCCCTGGGGATGTAATGTATAGTATGGAAACTACAGGTAACAATACTGTATTGTGTATTTGAAAGATGCTAAGAGAATACAATTAAAAGCCCTCATCACAAGAGAAAAATATTGTAACTATGTGTGGTGATGGATGTTAACTAAACTTATTGTGGTAATCATTTCACAATATATACATACATCAAATAATTATGTTATACACCTAAATCTAATACAATGTTATATGTCAATCATATGTCAATTAAAGATAACTTATAAAGGAAAGGTTTTGTGTGTTCTAATCATTGTTTCACTAACATAACACTAGTTAAGAACCACAAAGGTTGAGATCTGAATTCATATTGTCTTTATGCAGTTTTATTTTGATTTGCTGATAGCTGCACACTAATATGGCTCTTGTATTTGAGAGAGAGAGAGAGAGAGAGAGAGAGAGAGAGAGAGAGAGAGAGACTGTTGTTCTCTGGAGATGCATGTTAGTCCCATAACAATTTTAGTAATGAACAATTTTGCCTTTTAAACCATCACATTCTAATCTTGACACCTTGACTCTGAGATATTTGAGGACAGGGTGCCAAGATGCTAGACATAGCCTTTCGAGGCTTTACTTTTTTTTTAGTCTTGTTTTTAAGTCAATAAAGCCAAGACTGAGTCACTGAGCTTCAGTGATAGCAATGAGAATTCAAGTTATCTTGCAAACTCCCGTATAATAGTCCTTTAGGATATTTTAAAATTATACCAACAAACCACTGAGCTAAGATGAAAATATTATGTTCCCTGGGTCCTATTTAAAATCATACTGCTTTACTTACCTTTCCATCATGTAGCTATAAAATTAAAGATGTGAAAATTTTTTAAAACATCAAGATGCATAACAAGAAATATAACGAGATCTCATGCCTCAAGGAGAATCTCCTCTGATTAGCTACAGTTAACATGTTCGGCCTCTTAGATGACATTTTGTACCATACCTGTCCTGTGTATGCGAACTCCAGAGCCTGCTTTAAGCCTAGGCTGGTCACACCATGCAGATTCACCTCGTCAGCTCCACTTTCCACCATACAAAGACTGAACATTGCCTGAGGCGGGAAAAAGGAAGAGACAGAGAGTTATGGGACTTAAAAAGCCAGGGAACAAGACAAACTCCTAGAGAGACTAGAAAAGAAAAAAGTTTTATAGGTTAAAGACTGATACTGGCTTCTGCAATGCTTTGACAAAAGCTTCGCCGACACAAGCCACTGCAAGTCACTGTCTCAGCAGGTACAGTAATACACAAAGAACACCCCACACGCAGACTCTCATTTACTCCCACAGCCCTTCTCTGGGGTGACTGTGTTTAGACTCACTCACTGAACTCATTCTCTGGATCCTGAGATCTCATGAAATGTGCAGCACTCCTAAACATACTTGTCAACAGGACATGGAAAGCACACCCTTGTCTTCAACTGTTCTTCCTTTATTCCCCATCTCAATGACATAGCTCATTCCTCTCTTCTGCTACATTATCACACCCTCTATTCCAGTGGTTCTCAAAATGTGGCTCCTGGGCTGCCAACATCAGTACAGCCCAGGAAATTGTTACAGATTCTTGG